AAAGGCGGGCGTCTAAGCACAAAACAATGGAACAGTAGCGCGATGCGCAATTCTGTGTGCAATGCATTCATTGGGAATCGAACCCATGAGCTTGGCGTTGCGAGCACCATGTGATCTCCCTATAAAAAGTCGCAATTACCTTTTTTATTTTTTATTCAGTGGCGGAAACGGCCTTCCATACCATTGACCTCCATAGTATGCAAAAAAAAAAAAAAGAAAATACTATGGAAGTCAATGGCTATTCTAATGACAACTCTTCAGTTTTATTTGTTTGCTTGTTTTGTACTCTGTTGTTGTGCTTACAAACACTGTTATATCTGCAGCTGTTGTTCTTGGCTCTGTCATTGTGATTGTTTGCTCCTCAGGTGGAGAATAAAGAGGTGAAGAAGCAGATCCTGAACGACCCGGTGACCTACCCAGAATCCTTCAGTGAGAAAGCCAAGTCCATCTGTGAGGCTCTGCTGGCTAAAGAGGTGGACAAGAGACTGGGCTTCAAGAGCGGCTCGTGTGACGAGCTGCGCGCGCATCCCTTCTTCAGCGAAATCAACTGGAGGAAACTCGACGCAGGTGTGAAGATGATGAGAGTTTAGAGCAAACACAAGCATGATTAGACCTTTACCCTACTGATCAAACGTTTGAAATCAGTACGGTTTTTAAAAATGGTTTTGAATCTCTTCTGCTCAGCGAGGCTGCATTTATTTGATCAAAAATACAGTAAAAATTGTGAAATATTTTTACAATTTAAATTAGCTGTTTTCTATGTGAATATCTGTTAAACTGTAATTTGTTCCTGTGATTAAAGCTGCATTTATTTGATAAAAAATACAGTAAAAAAAATTTAATATTATTGCAATTTAAAATAGCTGTTTCTATGTGAATATCTTTTAAACTGTAATTTATTTCTGTGATCAAAGCTGCATTTATTTGATCAAAAATACAGTAAAAATTGTAAAATATTATTGCAATTTAAAATAGCTGTTTCTATGTGAATATCTGTTAAACTGTAATTTATTTCTGTGATCAAAGCTGCATTTATTTGATCAAAAATACAGTAAAAATTGTAAAATATTATTGCAATTTAAAATAGCTGTTTCTATGTGAATATCTGTTAAACTGTAATTTATTTCTGTGATCAAAGCTGCATTTATTTGATAACAAATACAGTAAAAAATTTTAAATATTATTGCAATTTAAAACAGCTGTTTCTATCTGACTATCTGTTCAACTGTAATTTATTTCTGTGATCAAAGCTGCATTTATTTGATCAAAAATACAGTAAAAATTGTAAAATATTATTGCAATTTAAAATAGCTGTTTCTAAGTGAATATCTGTTAAACTGTAATTTATTTCTGTGATGCGCAGCTGTATTTTCAGCATCATTACTCCAGTCTTCAGTGTCACATGATCTTCAGAAATCAGTCTAATATGCTGATTTGCTGCTCAAGAAACATTTCTGATTATTATCAATGTTGAACACAGTCGTGTATTTTTGTGGAAACTCTGATACTTTTCATTCAAAATTTTGGGAAATGTAAGAATTTTTTTTATTCGTTAATGCTTTTATTTATCAAGGACACATTGAATTGATCAAAAGTGACATTTCTAATGTTCCAAAATATTTCTATTTCAAATAAATGCTGTTTACTTTCTGTTCATCTGTGAATCCTGACAAATAAAATGCATGATGGTTTCCACAAAAATATTGTGCAGCACGACTGTTTTCAACATTAATAATAATAATAAATGTTTCTTGAGCATCAAATCAGCATATTAGAATGCATAAATGCAGCTTTGATCACAGAAATAAATTACAGTTTAACAGATATTCACATAGAAACAGCTAGCTTAAATTGTAATAATTTTCACAATTTTTACTGTATTTTTGATCATATAAATGCAGAGGAAAAACCTTACTAGTGCAGATCCATCAGATCTTGTCTTCTGAGTGCACTAACGCCACACTGATGCCCTGTATACAGGGATTCTGCCGCCTCCTTTCGTACCGGATTCCAAGACGGTCTACGCCAAGAATCTGGACGACGTGGGCGCTTTCTCCACGGTGAAGGGGGTCTGTCTGGAGGACGATGACAAGACGTTCTACGATGAGTTTGCGTCGGGAAACATCCCCATCCCCTGGCAGGAGGAGATGATCGAGATGGGTGTCTACGGCGAGCTGAACGTGTGGGGTCCAAACGGCACGGTGCCCAACGACCTGCGCAGAGAATCCATCCTGGAGCTGCCGCCCAAATCCTCCACCTGCAGCATCTCATAACCACAGCAGCACCGAACCCTCAGATAGAGCACTTCAGCTTCAACTGTGACCCTGGAGCACAAAACCAGTCATAAGGGTCCATTTCTTGAAACTGAGATTTATGCATGAACTGAACGCTGAATAAATCAGCTTTCCATTGATGTATGGTTTGTTAGGATAGGACAATATTTGAAAATCTTTGACCCATACAATGTATTGTTGGCTATTGCTACAAATATCCCTGTGCTGCTTATGACTGCTTTTGTGCTCCAGGGTCACATTTATTCTAAAAGCTCAGGGTGAAGGGTGCACTGCTCTTGAGTATTTATATTAGTGATTATTGAGTTTATTGAGCAGTAAACTGAGTTCAGTTCTGTTCAAGCACGTTTAGCATTTAGGCTTTTAAACAGAACCGAATGAGAATATCTAAGTATAAGGAAAGAATAAAGAGCCAAATGCTTTGCAGTCTTTCTTTGGATATCCATAAAGCTCAGTCAGTAATAACTGTAAGTAAAATTAATGCACTGCAAAAAAAAAAAAAAAAAACTTATCTTGCTTAGTATTTTTGTCTTGTTTCTAAGATATCTAAACATTTTTAAATTAAGATGCATTTACTAGATAAGCAAAATGACGTAAGATATTTAGTCTTGTTTGTATGGGGGAAAACTAAATTAAGTGCATTTTGCTTATAATAAATAAACTGATCTGCCAGTGGGGAAAGTAAAACAAGAGTATTTCTCTTACCCCACTTGCAGAGCATTTTACTTGTTTGAAGCACAATTCACTTAATTTAGTTTTTCCCCTGGATTGAATATCTTACGTCATTTTGCTTATCTAGTACATGCATCTTAATTTAATAATTTTTAGATATTTTGACTAGAAACAAGAGAAAATACTAAGTAAGATAAGCCTTTTTTTTTTTTGCAGTGTTCTCATGTTGTGTTTGGGTTATTTTCCCAAAAAATGTTATCGCATTGTATTAAAACGTTGAGTTTACTCACACGGTTGCTTCTGGTCGAAAATGACCGGCCTACAAAAAAAACTGCTTATAAATCTTGTGTTATGCTGTATTATTAGAGCTTATGAACGTCAGTTTTTGAGTAAATATTGACAAAATTATTCACAAATAATCTTTTATCACTCAAAACTGAATATTTTCAAAATAATGCTTTTTCACTCAAAAAATGAGGTGCATAAGTTCAGATTAATGAGTCTTACGATCAATCAGCTCCAAAAGCAAATGTTGACTTTGATGCTAATTGACAGAAAACAAGTTGACAAACATATTGAATCCAAGATTTGGTGATAATATAGCACAATGAGAGATTTATAAGAATTAAAAAAAAAAAAAAAAGGCTGCTAATTTTTGACAGGAACACTAAATTAGGTGCAGGATTTTCAGCAGCACAAGGGTTAAATAAATGAGATGCGATTATCTGAGTAATAATGACATTGTTCTCTGATCTGAGTGAATGTCCGATTGGACAGATGTCTTTGTATATTTGTTGTTTATGATCAGTTTAATGTTCATTGATTTCTACACCGTCTGAATGAATAATTCAGTGCATTTCTCGTTTTTATTGAACTGGTTTTGAGCTCTTTTCATCCTGAACTCAGTGTTTTTATCTTTGGTCTTAGTGAGTTATTTGAATTGCTTTAATTAATTCCTTGATTGGTTGTGTTTAATGAGCCTGTCTGAGGTGGTGCACAGTGCGAGTGAATGTCGAGCGATCGGTTAACGGGTTAGTTAGAGGCTAGTTAGGTGCTGTTGACTAGTCCTGCCATTGTTGCCATAAACACAAAGACGCTTCTGTGCATGAATTGCTTTCCTTCTAAGTGCCCTAGCAAAGATACCAGTAGCTCTACTTTTGGGAATCCCAATTTTTTTGCATGTAAAAAGCTGTAAATGTCTTTAGGTTGCATTGGTTATCATATCATCCTTTTGAATAATGTGAGAGCTGTCACAATTATGATTTCAAATAAATGTTTTGCCATAAATACACCTCAGCTCTGGGTGTCTGTGTGTTTTGAGAAAAATAAAGAAAAAAGTTACCCTGCTGATTTAAAACCAGGATTTTTGTCATATTGGAGTTTAGTCCATTATGAGGCAGCCCGGGGCTAGTTGTCACACATTTTACTCCAGTGCATATTTGTCTTTTTGGTTGTTATTAAAAAAAAGTCAGTTTCTGTATAGACACAAACCTTAGAGTCTTAAATAAAAAACGCTATTGAACATTTTCACACTTGAAAAAAAAAAAAATCCAAATATACTGTTAATTTAACTGGGGCATGTTGTCACAGTGGAAACCTGCTATTTGTTGACAAGATTACACGTGTTTTAAATATCAAACAATAGCAAAAATACTATATTTAAGATGTATTATAAAAAAAAAAACATTCTGAAACAAAACAATTTAAGAAACAGCAAAAAAGGAAACATGGGGGGAAAAAATTCAAACGTAATTAATTGTTTAAAATTACAACGTAAAAACCACGAAACAACAAAAATGGAAAAATCAACCATAATTAATAAGTTGTATAAAATTACAAACCGTGGCGCAACTTTCACAGAAAACGTAATATTCATGAGGCGTCATCCACGGACATGCATATTCAAATGAGTTATCGTTTAAAATCCTATGTCCGCTTTAGTTATTTTCAACAGGGACCAATGAGGGCGACCGTTGATCTGCGCGTGCGCATAGATCGCCGTCCAATGAAAAGTCGGTTGAAATTTTAAATCTCACCGCGCGCGCTCAGTCGGTTAGCGTTAACGGAGAGAAGATGGCGGAGGAATCCGCCGTTAAAGTGTGCGTTAGAGTCAGACCTCTCATTAAAAGGTAAGAAAAGCTACATATTTAACGTTACAGAGTGGAGGGAAATGTAATATAAGTTAACAGAGTTATTTGCCGAGTGATTCTAACTGACGACACCATCTTAAACTAACTTACTAACGTACAGAAGATTGTTTTTGTTATATTTCTGAAGTAAACCTGTCCTAAAAACAAAATGTGCTTAGTTTGAGGAGGCAAGTTAAACCTAAAAGATTCTTCCAAAAGAGAAATGAAGAATTATTGTCATCTTAAATCAATACAAAAGGCTGTTTTTGTAAATATTTATGAAGGAAATCTATTTTAGAAACCGTAATATGTTACAATACTATATTAGTCAGTAATAATATCCTTTATATTTCGTTGGTTTACCAGGTTTGACAAATTCTGTTAGTTACCATCGAGCTCATTTATTATTTTAACCTTTATAATGCATTCTAAATCTGTGGACTATTTTCCATTTGGACCCAAAGAATCGTCTTTTTGTAGAGAAGACGTAAGTTAATATTTTTTAGCGTAAACTTTATTTTATCAGCAACTTCTCATTCATGATTTTTTTGAATTTTTGAAAATGATTTTTTTTTTTATACCATGTTATTAGTCCTTTTTGATTAAGTAAAAAAACCGAGGAATTCTTTGAAATGTACAATTACACATGACGCACACCAAGTGTGTGTTTATATATATATATATATATGTATGTATGTATGTATGTATGTATGTATAAAAAATGTTCAAGTTTTTATCGGTTAAAATACCAGTATTAACCCCAATAGAATGAATGGAATTTGAATGTATAATTAATGACTGCCCAAAAACAGAAATTTATGAATCCTACCCTGAAAAGTTTTCAAAACAAATTAATTTTACTTGCATAAACCTTCAGTTTCAGATGGAAAAGATGATGCATTTTTCATGCCTCAAAACATTCCTGTTTATCAACAAAATTCATCCCTAAAGTGTGCGAGATATAGGGAAAAGGTGAAATAAATTAAGTTTTTGACACCAATTTAACTCTAGGTAATTTTGGCAAAAGTATTTTTGACACCTAATGGTGCTCCGTACGTACCCAGGTCAAAATGACCCGAACATTTGAAATGGTTTTATCTCTTAAAAGTAATTGTAAAAAAGTAAATGTGTATTTTGAGGATCTTAAAGCATTTGCAAAGTTTCATAAAAAGCTATGCAGTTTTTAGAAATATTTATGCATCTCATTCTCTTCCAAGCCAAATCGGACCCGAATGCATTTTGAGGGTTAATGTATTATTTAAAAGGATAGTTCACCCAAAAATGAAAATCCTGTCATTAATTACTCGCCCTCATGTCGTTCCAAACGCGTAAGAGCTCCGTTCATCTTCAGAACACACATTAAGATATTTCTGATGAAATCCGAGAGCTCTCTTTGGCCCTCCGTAGACAGCAAGCATCCTAACACGATCAAGGACATCGTTAAAATAATCCATGTGACATCAGGGGTTCAACCATAATTAAACGAAGCTACGAGAATACTTTTTGTGCACAAAGAAAACTAAAATAACGACTTTGATAACGACACCCTATAGCGCCATTTTAGACGGTATCGCATATGTTTGTATGAGGATACGTTGTTTACATTCAGATCAAAGCATAAACAATGTAAATAACGTATCCTCTTACATGCGTATGCGATACTGTCTAAAATGGCACTATAGGGTGTCGTTATCAAAGTCGTTATTTTAGTTTTCTTTGTGCACAAAAAGTATTCTCGTAGCTTCGTTTAATTATGGTTGAACCCTGATGTCACATGGATTATTTTAACATTTCTGAGCATTGATGGTGTTAGGATGCTTGCTGTCTGTGGAGGGTCAGAGAGCTCTCGGATTTCATCAGAAATATCTTAATTTGTGTTCCGAAGATGAACGAAGGTCTCACGGGTTTGGAACAACATGAGGGTGAGTAACTAATGACAGAATTTTAATTTTTGGGTGAACTATCCCTTCAAGGCTGATTCTCAGACCCAGCAGTAATGATGATCTGATGATTTCAGAGAGGAATCTGAGAGTTCAGAGCCAGTGCAGCTCTTCTGGAGAGCCGACAAACAGGCCATCCATCAGCTGGATGATGACGGAGCTCAAACCAAGAGCTTCAGCTTCGGTGAGTCGAGCTTCAGCTGATCTTCACTCACCACTAGTGCAGCGCATCATGTTCTGAGCTTCGTGTGTTTCAGACCGCGTGTTCAGCGCTGGAGAGACCACCACTCAGCTCTACCAGGACATCGCAAAGCCGCTGGTCGTGTCTGCCGTTGAAGGCTACAACGGTGAGTCCAGAGATCAGAGCAATTACAATGTATTTGAAAGGCATGCTTGGTGTAATATCAGGCAAACAAGTCAACACAACCGCACGTGCTGCAGTACATACTAGGGTTGCTGCGGTAGACAGTAGGGATGCACCGAAATGAAAATTCTTGGCTGAAGCCAAAAAAAAATGAAACACTGGGCCGGATACCGAACACGGTTTTTCATGTATTTTGACCATTTTTTTTCACCATTGCATAAATTAAATAGCCAAAATGTGCTTTTTACTGTTTTGTCTTGTTTTTCAAAGAAAAAATCAATTACAAAACAACAATTTAAAAATATTTAACACTAAACATTTTTTTACATTCTAGCAGACATTATACCAACAAAGCACAATTTAACTTAAAATTAATAAGTTACTAAAATAATATATTTTGGCAATCAGACCCCCCTTGAATCAGGCATGTATTTTTACTGTAAAATTAAAAGCAGCCTTGCTGAGCAGAAGACACTTCTTTTAAAACATTAGAAAATATTACAGATCTCAAGTTGAACACTGTGTGTATGTTATAATACATGTATTAACAGAGCTGTTGTAAAGATTATCATCATTATTATTGTCTTTTTATTTTATTTTACAGAACAACAGTAAAATTACAATACTAACATTTATGAATGTTGGAGTTCTTGCTTTTTCTCAACTTTTATTTTGGCGGAAACGCGCAGAAAGACCTCAATGCTTCTTTTTGTTGACGAATACGTCGCACATATCGCATTGTCACATGCCTTGTAAAAAATTCATAAAAATGCGACTGAGCAACTGACGAGTAGCACTGTTTCAGCGCAGATTTTCCTCGCGCTTTGAATGCTGGTTAACAAGCAGATAGCGCTGTCAGAATACATGCAATGCGCACGTGTATTAGAAAACATAACGTTCTGCAGTCTATTTACTAATTGTTTAAGACCATTTCGTGATTTAAATCATCATACAGTAACCAGCAACAATCACCCCTTCCTCTTCTTATTGAAGACATGTGCTGCAGCACTAAACAGTCTCTCGCTGTCAGTGCTTGTAATGATTTTTGCATCGTTCTCGGACCGTTTTAAATGCTTACACACTGCTGACGTGTGTGCTGCATAATAAAGAGTGCGCGCCTCTCACTTTACGCCGGTTGCTATTTGATAGCGTCACGTCATTGTTCGGTACAATTTATTTGGTTTTTCCACTCATTTTTCATTTATCACGTAAGGAGAAGCTGACAAGAAGAGTGTGTGAGACAGACAAGAGTTTCAAAACGACATGCAAAAGCGCCTGTTTTAAAAGTATTTTGGATTTTGAAAAGCCGGTTTACTTCTGCCATTTATCTTAGGTGATACTGGAAGTTTTTTTTAAACATGCGTTTATTTATTTGGTTTCACAGTGTTTGCTGATTTTTTTAATTTTTTTATTTCATCAAGTATGCCATGTCTCCCAGCTTTCTTATTCGTTTTGCTAATAAACGTACGTTTCTTATTTGGTTCCACAGTGTTTACTGATCTTCAGTTTTGTATACCTAAACTTTGTGCAGGTTATTTGTTATTTTATATTAGGCATATAGCATGGTGTAGTTTTTATTCATTTTGTTAATAAAAGTTCTACGTTGTATTTTGTTGTTTGAATTGAATTTAAGCAATTGACGCTAATTTGAAATTGAAAGTAAAATGTGCACGGTGCTTTTACAAGCTAAAAAAAAAATCATT